ATGAATACTAAAAACATACATGTAACTCTGAAAATTCACCGCGCTAAATTTTTTTTATTCTCTTTTTGTTTTGACTTTTGTTTTGCATTTGTAAGTTTTGAAAAAGTCTTAAAAATGTCTTGAACGTGTGCTATCAGCTTCACATTCAATTTTCGATACTAAATCTTGAAACAAAATGTCGAAATCAGCTTCACATTTTGTTTGTACACCCGATGCCACTATCCAATTCATATGTGGAATTGCTCGGTGATTTTGAAAATCAAGTTCATTTTTTTCTCTATGGATAACTTAATGCGATATTTGCAATTTGAGAGTGGTTCCACTTGATCAAATTTTAACAAAGGAATAATAAAAAATTTTAATTTTTCTGTAAATTTTTTTATTTTGTATGAAAGCCTGTTTTTAAAAAAAAAATTAAGCTACCAATGAAGAAAATCGATGGGTAAATAAGAAAGGAATGGGTGGTAAAATGAAAATGGGAAAGGATTTTTTGTACACGGCGTATGAGTAGCATTATTTCCTGCTCATTTTTCATACAAAAGATTTTTATGTCTGGAATAATTAATTAAATTCTCAGAACTGTGAAGCCTATAGAATGGGCTACAAAACTGAATACTCATAATATTTCAAAAATATGTTATAATTTTAAAAAGCTCTAAATTTTTACGAAAGTTTGTTGATTTTTGTTTAACGCTGCACAAAAATTGGACCTTGGATTTATACGGTTTTTGTTAAAGTATAAACTGTACTTTTATAAACAAATAATTAAACTTAAATAATATTAAGATAAATGGCCAAATATTGTTGATATGTGGGTGTCTTAAAGATTTGATATGCATCATAGCTAGGAATATTGCCATAGTTTTAATATTACTAATGAACTGCTATGCCCAGTTTTAGTACCGAATTCAAAGAAGATGCTTCTTTTTACCTTCCCTTTATTAGCTCGGGATGTAACTATGTAATATTGGTGCGCCGAAAAGATGCAGCGATTTCTATTCTCAAGTTACATACCTGATGACAGTACGAATGGCAATTATAATAGGGAGGTTTTAGTTTTTTAAACTATAATTTTATTTCCATTAATAATTGCTTAAAAATGCTTATGGTTAGGAATTGTACCTGAAAATGTGTGCATACATATTTATGTTAACAAATTTGTAAAAGTGTAAAATATGTAAATGAATGTACATGACCAAGTAAACTTTCTCATGCCATCAAATTATTGTGCATGTACTAAGAAAATATATGAGCAAATTAAAAACTCGATACAATTTACACTCAAAAATACAGTTTTTGTATAGATTTCGTACTGAAAGAACAATTTCATTTTCTAAAACTGATGCGAAATGTAAACACACCTGTCAAATTAGAAAATAGAAATTGTTTGGCTTCAACTTGACGTGCAATCAAACGACAGCATGGGCTTGAGTTGTGGATTGTGTTCAGTTCATATGGTTTACACGTATTTTATTTAGACAGGCTGCTCGCCGCAGCCCACAAGTCCTTTATGTGCTTACACCTGTACTTATGGAACTATACGATGCCTCCCATGATACAACAAACAAGGTAGTTCCATTGTCACTTTTTCGTTGCCATATTAACAACCTGACAATTAAGCAGATTGTGACATTTTGCTACCATACCCAACATCTAAAATCCTTCAAATTTTCTGATTTATTTTTTGTCAATTTAAAAATATTTTGTTCTTAAGCATGGTATTTTGTTCCCGTTTCACGTGAAAAAGGTGTTAAATTGCATATAAAATTTCTTTCTGTTAAAAATAAGTGTGAAATTCCACAACATTTCCCCACCAAAGTAGTATTCTGTTCACGCTGTGAAAAAGCTTGCAACATTTTTGCAACATGAAGCTAGCAACACAATTTTCATGACATTTTTAAATACACATGTACATTTTAAATTGTGTGAAAGCTGACAGTTTATAGAATTCAGTAGTGGCGAGAACAAAGGGGGGTTAAGTGGTTAAACATTACCCAAGCCGATCGTAAAACTTGCGACGCAACTTCAGCTTATGCCTGTGGGTCTTGGGAATAATGTAGTCCCTCAAGGTTTAGCTTAAAATCGTTGTAGGGATACACCCTGTGATCATGTTACTTTCCAGAAGGTGTCACGCCCATCTTCCTGTACATGTTTCCATTGGAAAAATACCTCATATCAGTATTCTAGGTAAATGTTTCCGGAGGTATCTATGCGTCACCAGAATTTTAGTTTATATGGCTTATACCGCTAGCTCTTTTCAATGGCTACGAGATCGTTTTCATATACCCCGTTTTTTTTATTTTTTTTATTTATTAAAGTAGTCGAACACAACAACCACAGGTTATATTTCAGCGTTAGATACTGAGAATATTACAATATAATACGATATTAAAATGTATAAAATTTGAACTTAACATCTAAAACTTATAAAATTATTCATAAAGTGTAAGATTGAAGAGAATAAAGAAAAATACAAATTTTTCATAGCTTTGGGATTGATTTCATTTACCTCTGTTCCAAGTTCTACGGTGGCACGCCGCATTTTCCAATAAACCCACGTTTTTCCATGAGCTTGAGATTGACTTGATATACATATATCCATACCAAGTTCCCGGACTCTACCACAAATACTTGCAGAGATATGCACTATGAAAAAATCGCTTTGTATGAGAGGTTCCACAACTCCTTTAGATATTCGGTTTTGTTTTAGCCTATAACCATTCTTGGAAAATTTGTGTCCGAAATTTCAAAAAAATCGGTACAGCCGGTATGGCATTGTGACTCCACAAGCGAAATGAACTAATGATTGCAAAAAATGAAATCAAACATAGTAGTTGACCAAAAAAGAATATTAGACTTCATTCTCTCAACTTCTCAGAATGTAGAAAAGCTAAGAAATATATAATAAGATAGTATATATTAAAACAGCCTCTAAAACATTTACTAAAGACGCCCCTGAACTACACAAATCCGTTTGATCGAAAATTTGTTTTCATCTATTTATTTTATACTTCGCTTTTGGGTGTGTCAAAATTTCATGTGAAAACAATATGTGTTGCTGGAAAAATTTTACGGCCCATGGGTCCCAAAGAAAATTCCATTTGCTGTTAAATGGACAAAGACACTTGGGCAATTCACAAGGTGTTGTGAAGTTATATTTTCCTAACAAAAGTTGTGTTAAAACACGACGGTTGTGAACACCTGTTACGATTATTTATTATATCTCAGCACTTAACCTCACATAACACCGAATAAACATAGGTTGCAGAGTTGTATCGTCATGTGTTATTTTTCTTCACAAAACAATAACAACATTTTTACAACTGTCATGAAATATCATGACTTCACGACAAACACGACAAATACGACACCTTGTGAATTGCCCAAATATGTATTAATAACACATCGAAATGCGTAATTTCAGTGTCAGAATCATATCAGAATCATCGTATCCGATATAGAAAACTACATTGTGAAATAATCAGATGACATGAGGACACTAAAAAAATTTTAAAATATGTTCACTAAAATTGTACTAATATTAAAATAATGATTTGACAAGTTGTTATCGAATTTAATGTAAAATTTAAACGTTTTTAAGATAAGATATTAATTATTTTTAAAAGGTAAATATTAATACAACTATTTCATTTATAATCCCAAATTTAGGATATAAAGTCTCCCACACCAAAAAACTTACAATTGGGTAGCGCCGCTCCCATATTTTCACAATTGAGCAATTGTCAAAAATCTGCTTTTTAATCAAAAAGTTGTTTATTGAAACTACCTTCTTTTTTGTATCATGATGCCTCCTATTAGATAACTGTGCTATTTGTGTCAAAAGGAAATCTATTGTCTCCTAGAAAATTTGAATTTTTTCAAGAAGAAAAAAAAAATTATTGTGAAAAAATTTCATCATCGGTTTAAATACATATACATACATATTTTAAATTTAACAAAGGGAGGGCGAAAGAGAGAAGCTCGGTAGAAATACTAATAACGAATAACGAATTCTACTAAGCACCAGCGACAAAAGATCGGATAATACCAGCATTATATTTCACTAATTACGAAGAACACTAGTGGAAAGCGTATTCGAGAAGGGTTGAACAAAGCAAACAAAACAAAAACAAAAACAGTAGGAAGAAATATCTTTTGAAATCAATTAATGGAACAGATCGTAGTGAATCGTAGTTAAGCCAAAGAATCTACAAAGACAATGTTAAAATTCCAATGAAAATCTAAACAAATAATTGAGAAAAGTAGATACAGGAGACAGTGACGTCGTTTAAAGGCAGGAAATAAATAAAGCATTTAATACTAGAAACGCCAACATCATCGTAGAAATATATGTACACAGAAATACACACTATAATAGTATCCAATTTTAGATTGCACTGAACATTATTAGATTAAAAAATATTTTGTTCGATATCCTATACTTTTTTAGTGGTCTGTTATATAAATATTTGAAAACTACGTCGGAGAAACTTTGGCTTATATATTTGGATTTAAGCCCTTAGCTCCTTTGTCATAAATCGAGCCAAAACGGCAAATCAATGCCCAAGGACAATAAATGAGAAGCACAAGCGCGTCAACTAAGAGTCTACTATTCACGAAGAGTCGCAATAACTATTCGTCTAGCAGTTCAGCGAATGCCGGTCGGTATCGTAAATTTTTCATACGTGGCCGTCCAATACTGGGTATACAGAGCTCGACAGCAGCCAATAGTTGCGAACTTGAGCAACGCTGCATTCTTCAGTCATCGGTACACTATTTTGGGGCGACGAGCACCAGCCTCCTTAGTACCGGTACTGTCTGCTGCATATCCGCTGGAGTAAATTCAAAAGACCAAAAACTGTACGAAATTCAAAGGAAATTCCCTTTTCGGCTGCCTGAGTACAAAACAAATGCTTTTAATGTTAGATTAGTTTTTCTACTAATATACTATATTAATATTTTGTTTTTATTTTTCTCCTTCACTTTTTCATCGTTTACAGGCTTCTATGGATGAAAAATATGTCGAATCCATTTGGGCAAGCTTGAAAAATGCTATACAGGAGATACAGAAGAAGAATAACTCTGGACTGTCATTTGAACAATTATACCGGAATGCATACAACATGGTGCTTCACAAGCACGGAAATCGGCTATATTATGGGTTGCGAGAAGTGGTATCTGAACATTTAGAGCATAAAGTACGCCAGGAAGTGCTTGAAAGTTTGCACAACAACTTTCTTCCAAAATTAAATCAAGCGTGGAATGACCATCAAACGTCTATGGTAATGATTCGCGATATCTTAATGTACATGGATCGTGTTTATGTTCAGCAACGGGAAGTGGATAATGTCTACAATTTGGGCTTGATACTGTTCAGAGATCAGGTATAGCTCATAACCAGGGAACGGATTTTTAGGACCTAAAAACCTATAAAAAAGGCAAAAGAAAATAACGAAATAGGCTGGAAAAGGCAAAACAAAATAGCGAAAAAGGCAAGAAAAGGCACTAGGTATTGCAAAAAAAGCAAAATAAGGCACTGAAAAAAGACAGAAAATACGAAGAACATTCAAAAAATACATTTCTTTTAGAAATGTTTATATTACAAGTAAAAAGAGAAAAACTATGAACTAGTTTCATATATGAAAAATTTATACTGTGAATCTTTGACTATTTTATCCTCTCGAGTTTCTTTAATCTGTATAGTTGTAGTAACATTGAACCACAATATGCATTTTGAAGTTTCCTGGCAGCATTATCATTCGATTTTGGCAAGAGGTCCCTGCGCTTCTATAAGCCGCATGGGCATGTGTATATTTTTTAATCTTAAAAAAAAAAAAATGTAAATGCTATAATCACTTTTTTAAAGGTAGAAAAGGCAAAAAAAGCAAATATCTTAAAAAAGGCAAATATCTTAAAAAAGGCAAAAAAAGGCAACATCAAATGTGTATATATGGAATCAGGGAAAGCTAAATCGTGGACATTCTTAATCGAATATACTCTATCTCTTTAGCAGAAAAAAAGGCAACTTCCATAAAATCCGTTCCCTGCTCATAACGTAGGTTCCCTGCAAACCAAAGTTCTCGAAATCTTAACGAAATCTTTAGAAGTATCTCATTTCTGTTTTAACATTAATTCGCATTCATGTAAAAATAAACATAAAAAATTGAGCTGTATTATTTAATTTTTTTATTAACATTCTTGAGTTTTCCAGGAAAATAATTGTTAATGTTTGTTTTTTTGCCGCCATTTGGCCAAACAAGTTTTCAAATAAATGTTATCAAATTAAAATAAGCAAGGCGTGCATTGGGCCAGCGCCTTTATTTCATTTTAGAAAATTCGGGAAAAAATTGGATGGGATCTTAACTAATTCATTAAAATTTCTTTACACTGAAAATATGGTTTGCAGGGTTGCCATGCTAACTAATACAAACAAAAAATTATCTTAGATCGTGCGTTATTCGGAAATTCAAAAAGCTCTGCGAGAGACTCTGCTGGGTATGGTTATGGATGAGCGAAGTGGTGAAGCCATTAACCATTTAGCTATTAAAAATGCCTGTCAAATGCTTATGTCACTAGGAATTAATACACGCTCCGTTTATGAGGATGATTTTGAAAAACCTTTTCTTGCGCAATCTGCTTCCTTCTATAAATTCGAGTCCCACAAATTCCTTAACGAAAACAATGCAGGTGTTTATATCAAAAAAGTTGAGGTAAGTTATGATATAATATTTTAGAAATGGATATCTATTGAACGTTTTTAAGGCACGCATACAAGAGGAATCTGCTCGCGCAACGCTTTATCTAGACAAGGATACGGAACCTCGAATCGTTAAAGTTGTTGAAGATGAACTCATTAAAAAGCATATGCGCTCCATTGTGGAAATGGAAAACTCCGGTGTTGTTTATATGATAAAAAACTCTAAAACAGAGGATCTTGCATGTACCTATAAACTATTTTCTCGTCTTAAAGAGGAGGGTCTCAAAGTTATTGCTGATACTATGTCGTCATATTTGCGTGAACAAGGCCGAATATTAGTGAAAGAAGAAGAAAATGGCAACACCAACCCAATAACATTTGTACAGAACTTGCTCGACTTAAAAGACCGTTTTGATCAATTTTTGCATCATTCTTTTAACAATGATCGATTATTTAAGAATGTTATTTCGGCGGACTTTGAACATTTTCTAAATTTGAACCAAAAATCCCCGGAATATCTTTCATTATTCATCGACGATAAACTTAAAAAAGGAGGCAAAGGTGTAAGTGTTATTTTCCCTGTTTGCACACAGTTAATTACATAGCAAAGCATTTTAGATGAGCGAACAAGAAATCGAAACAATTTTGGATAAGACGATGGTTCTTTTCCGTTTTCTTTTGGAAAAAGATGTTTTCGAACGCTATTATAAAACACATTTAGCCAAACGATTGTTGCTAAATAAATCAGTTTCTGATGACTTCGAAAAAAATATGATATCAAAATTGAAGGTATTATTGTGCAAAATTTATTTGTATTTGTTAATTTCAATTACATTTCATAATTTGCAGACTGAGTGTGGATGTCAATTTACCTCAAAATTGGAAGGAATGTTCAAAGACATGTCTGTGTCAAATACCATAATGGAAGAATTTAAGAATTATGTAAATATACACAATTTATCATTATCAGGTGTAGAATTGACAGTGAGAATATTAACTACTGGATTCTGGCCAACTCAAGTGTGTTACATATATATTAATTACACAATTTCTTTTTAATTCGAATGTATCCATGAATATTTTTAGACGGCGACACCGAACTGCAATATACCATCAGCGCCCCGCGAAGCATTTGAAATATTCAAGAAGTTCTATTTGGACAAGCATTCAGGCAGACAGTTAACATTGCAGCCACAAATGGGTAAAATTTAAAAATTCTTATCCCCAGTTTCACCAATCAATTTTAAAATTTATCAGACTTAAAATTTAATAATTCAAATTTTCCGAACGAATTTGCGTAATTTAAAATTTTTTCAGGCTGATAAATTTAAAATTGGTGAAACCAGACATTATAAACGCAAAAACTACAGTCGAACTTCCCTATATTGACATTTGTTCAATGAAGTTCTCTTTATTATGAACTGTTTCAAGTACACAGCTTTTTCGTTCTCCTTCAAATGTATTTTGATATCAACGTTATGAAATTTCGCAGCTCCAAATTGAACTCATTCATTTTTCTCTCCTTGTAATGAATTTTTTCAAAGATATTTCTGTTACGCATATTAATAACACTGTGTACCGCGAAAAAAGTAAAACCTAATTAGGGTCTTCCTTTAAAAACGATTTTTTCAGCAGCCGTCCGGCGGTTCACTTGAAGAAAAAGAAGATATTTATAAATTGGTAGAAGGCGTGACAAGAAAAATATATTGATAAGCAGTTTTAAATCGTTCCCACCACTTAATCAAATTAAAAAAAGCTGTTATTCTTAAAAATGTAGACGACGACCATTTGAGTACTAAACGCATAAGGCTTCGAAGTTCGAACCTCTAAATTTAATCTGTAACGATGAAAAAGAATTTGCAAGTTAAGAATAATCGGCGTATACAAATAATGTGTTACCCACGGTGCAGCGAACAAAGGTGGGGCCGTCAGTGGTACCGCTAGTTTGGTTTTGCCGATTTTGACAGTTGTGGTAACTTGTAAATAAACTTTTGTTTACAAATCAGCGGCAAAGAGAAATTTTAATTATAAGTGAAAAATCAGTTTAAATTGTGTTAATTTGCAATTTGTAGCGGCTACAACAACCCCGCCCAGATCGGCTGATATCTCAGTCGTTGTCGTCGAGTTCCACTAACAGCAGCCCCAAGAAGTGTGCAGCCTCTAGGAGGGTCGGTCCACAGGGACCGGGCATACGAAGAGATGTTTCGAGTCGTGAGTGGTCTCACCGCTGCCGGACATTCGTTCGGCACATCCGCATTTAGCCTACTCAGGTAGGAATNGAAGCTAAATACTCTAATAATAGAAATATTAACAAAAATATTAATAAAATATTAATAAAACATTAATAAAACAAAAACAAAGGTCAAAATTCGAACTTCGAAGGCCCATATCTCGATTCCGGAGGCTAACTTCGAAAAACGGAAAAATCACTTTTTTACTTATCTCTTAAAAAAAAGTTGGTTTGGGCTAATACCCAGCCGAGTGCTGTACCTTGTAATAAAAGGCATCGCACAGCTTCCTAAGTAAAAACACTATCAGCTGATTGCCAAACAATGCCTANCAACCTCTGGACTTCGACCGTCAGTTCATATAGATGCCTCCTGACGTGCCTCGGCGAGGGCTCCTCTGCAAGCAGCTGTCTATTTGGNAGCATTTGCTCTTATGTTTTACAATTTCTTTCATTTCTATTGCAATTTATTCAAACTACACTCACACACTGAACCAAAAACACCAATACACTAACCAAAAACACACCTACAGCCTGCCAGAAAAAAACGGTAGAAAGAGGAGTTACGTTACTTATGGTACTCTACGATGATAAAAGGTTTGCTCAGAAAACAGTTCTTTGAAAACGAAATAAAACAAACACAGATGATTCTATCTGTATGCCAGATGAAAATAGAAACATTTCTATTTCGTATGTACGTGCGTGCATCTGTTTTGNTAATTTCATTTCTTCTCCAAGCAGCCTCCTTTCGCAAGTTAACTAATCAACCCCACTGAGATGCTCCCGCAGTTTGCTTCAGCAGCCTTAATTGCAAAGCATTGGAGTGCACTAAAACGTTTGCTGAAGNGAAAGAGGAGTTACGTTACTTATGGTACTCTACGATGATAAAAGGTTTGCTCAGAAAACAGTTCTTTGAAAACGAAATAAAACAAACACAGATGATTCTATCTGTATGCCAGATGAAAATAGAAACATTTCTATTTCGTATGTACGTGCGTGCATCTGTTTTGTACAAAAACAAATCTGATTTGATTTTACACGATATGTTGGCATTTCCATATGTAAAAAGTGGCAGGTACACATGCAAATACATATCGTGTAAGAACACTTTTAGCAAGGCACTATGTATGGGTGTGTTTGTGTGTGCAACCTTCCATAATATCGGCGACATACATCTTGTATTTCTTCGTAGCATTTCCAAAATGCCATATGCCTGTCACCAAATATTATAATATTCTTCAAAATACTTCTTGAGCAACCTAGTATTTTCTGTGGAAAGAATACAACTTTCCGAAGATTGTAATTATGTGGTATTCTCATTGTTAATGGGCATTTCACTCTGAACATACCCGAAAATGACAGATGTCAGCTGCTCATTTATCAAAAAATCATTGAAACTTTTGCGCGATTGAAGGCAATAGTTTATACCGCAAGTTTTAATGCAATGTATAANGTCCGACTGTCGTGGGAACGTCTAAGCGTTGTGGTTGTTGTTGTTGTAGCGGCTACTAAGCCCCGTTCGGGTCGGTTCATCCATCAGCGTTGCCGTCAATTGCAGCTAGGGGGAGGCCCAGGAAGTGTGCGACTTCCACAAGGGCTGTCCATTGGGACAGGGGCGTCAGCTGAGTGGGGTTCTCAGGGCATGTGAAGAGGTGCCGGGAGTNATATGTCCCCGGTATTGGGGAGTGTCAAACTCGAATGTCACTAGTGAGCAAACTTTTTTTTTGTAGCATACGGAATCTAGTACAGCTTTTTATGAAATGAGTCCAAAACTTACTCTTTATTCTTTACTGTGCAGAATTTTAACTTCCTGGTGCAAATACATATATATGTATGGATGTGTATTTATTAAGAGCTGTATAAAAAATATTTGAAATNTTAGCAGTAACGTACCGACTAACGTTTTTAAGCCTCTAAGCGTTGTTGTTGTTGTTGTAACAGCATACAAATTCCCCAAAGAGTTTCTGGGGAGTGTAGCTGGAGTGACAGTCTTTGGCCAGATATAAATCTGGGTCGTTCCGGTTACGTAGGTCCGACTGTCGTGGGAACGTCTAAGCGTTGTGGTTGTTGTTGTTGTAGCGGCTACTAAGCCCCGTTCGGGTCGGTTCATCCATCAGCGTTGCCGTCAATTGCAGCTAGGGGGAGGCCCAGGAAGTGTGCGACTTCCACAAGGGCTGTCCATTGGGACAGGGGCGTCAGCTGAGTGGGGTTCTCAGGGCATGTGAAGAGGTGCCGGGAGTCATGTGGCGGCTCTCCACATGCATTGGTTGGGCACATCCTCGTTGATTCTGCTTAGGTACGAGTTTAGCCTGCTGCAATAACCAGAGCGAAGTTGGGCTATTGTAGTGCGGGTCTCCCGAGGCAGACAAAGTTCTGTACCGTCCACGTACGGTGGTTGTGTGCCTAGGACGGCATTCACAGGGCGGGAGTCTACATAACTTGAGACTGATTCCCTGTGAATGCCGTTCAGGGCCTGTCGGTAGGTTGACGGGTCCAGAGGTTGTTTGACAAACCTCTGGACTTCGTCCGTCAGTTCGTAAAGAAAGGAACTGCTTGCAGAGCATTATGTTATGCTCCTTTACTGGGAGCATCTGGGCCTCGTCATGTAGGTGGTGTTGGGGCGTCAACAGGAGGCATTCTGTCGCTGTTCGTAATGCCGTGTTTGGCGCCCATTGTTGCGGCTCTTTACTTTGTTGACAATTGCGGTTGTATGCGTCGAGAAGGGGAGCAGACTGTCGAAGGTAACTCCGAGGATTTTCGGGTTATTCACCGTCGGTATTGTTACGCCATCGACGTGAATACCCAGTTGCGGTCTGACCTCCTTCGTCCAGGTGGTGAAAAAGGGTTGCCGAGGATTTCGCAGGGGATAGGGCAAGGCTTCTTGCAGTGAAGAAGCGAGAAAGTTCGGCGAGATAAGCGTTTACTTTCGAGCACAAGTCATCAATTCCATTCCCAGACGCCATGATTCGCCGACCACCGTTTGAGTCCCTGTGGGAGTGAGGAGGCCTCTATATCTTATAGTAGCGTTGAATGACTGACAGTGTCGAACGCCTTGGACACGTCCAACGCTACTAGAATAGTTCTCTCACAGGCCACGAGTTATCTGAGTGTTATGGCGTTAAGTGCTGTTGTTGTGCTTTGCACTTTACGGAACCCATGCTGATGCTTCGCTGGGGTCAGGTGGTTCGTGAAATACGGGAGCAGCAGGGCCTCGAGTGTCTTCGCTCCTTTGTTGGCTGGGTTCCCTGGTTTGAGCAGTGGGACCACTCTCCCCATTTACCAGATGTCTGGAATGACGAGAGTGGCCATAAACAGGTTGAGGACCTCCGCTACTCCCGCAGGACCCAAATTTTTCAGCATCAATATGCATATTCCGTCGGGTCCAATGGCTTTGGAGGCTTTCGCCTTCCCGATGGCTACCCTTACCTCACCGCTGGTGACAACAAGAGGCGCACTGGGTCTTGGCATTTTGTGCAGCCTTCTGGTCACTCGACGTTTGGCTTTGTCCACCGGAGGATGCAGAATGAACTGCTGGCTAAAATAGCTCGCGCATCGCTCCGGGTTCGACGAAGCCTGGTCATCAAAGTCTATCTCGACGCTGTCGTCACGTTTCGTCGGGTTGGACAACGACCTCACGGTTGACCAAAGCTTGCTCACACCAGAGGCGAAGTTACAGGTCTCCAAATTCTCTGCCCATTTCTTCCGCTTATGTACGTTCACAAGCTGCCGAATCTCCGATTTGAGATCCCTGATACGGGGATTTCCGGGATCGGCCTTACGAAGGTTGTCGCGCTCATCGGCTAGAACAGCCGCTTCTGCAGGAATGTTCGGACGTGGATCCTTAATAAATCCTGCTGGGATGAAGCGAGCTGCAGCAGCGGTGACAACCCTGCGGAACTTACGTTCACCTACATGAACGTCGGTTGGTATGGGTAGTGCAGTGAAGGCGCCCCCAGTAACATCCGTGAAGCCTT